GTTGCCAAATCAGTTCTGACACATAGTGACCCTGTATAGAATTTCTAGGGAATGGTTGCTGAGTTTGAACCATCAACCTTGGGTGAGCAGCCCAGTGTTTATCACACAATGCCACATTAGGACTCCTTTGTAATCTCATGGGGCAATTATATTCTGTCCTATACAGTCACTATGACTCATAATTGACTGATGACCAAACCTGACAAACATCTTGAATCCCTTTCTTTTACTCAATCCCTACATCTTGTTGTGTTTTTAAGTGCCATCAAGTTGGTTTTGACTCATAGTGACCCTATATAGGGTCTTCGAGGAGGGACTGATAAATTTGAACGGCCGACCTTGCAGTTCAAACTAACCTTGTGGTGCAGTGTATTATCCCACAATGCTATGCCAGGACTCCTGCATCGTGTTCATCAGCAAATTCTGGTGGTGCCTATTAGGATTGAATTGTCACCTCCAAAATATGTGTGCTGTAAATCTCAACTCGTATCCCTGTGAATGTAATCCCTTGGATTTAGACTTCTTTGGAGTTATTCTTTATAGCCTGTTAAATACTAAGAAGCAAACCACATAAACATCAGTCATTGTGCTTTGCTTCATCCCTATGATCTTTAGCGAGAAACTCTCTGGAGTTTGTTTATGAAACAAACAAACTTGTAGAGTAACTATAAGCACTTTTTATATGCTCTGAAAAATCTAATGCAATGATTTAGCAAGCTTCTGTATATTTGCTTATGGAAAACGATCCATTGCTGCATTTTAATGCCAAGACTAGAGATTTTTATATGAGAGTTTAAGTTACTATAGAAATCATGTAGGTCATTCATTTTATTCTAAAAATTAGAAATCAAAGACTCATAAAGGTAAAGTAAAGTGTTCATGCAGATATAGAAGTCCAACAGAAGTTGTTTACAGAAAAAAATTGTCCCAAGAAAGGGTATTTAGGGCACTTCTCAAGCTGGAAAAATTTAACAAAAAACACAAGCCTCATCTCAAAGTATTAAAGATTTATATGAACAACATTTTCAATGATGCAGAAAACATCAAAGGAAGATTGAAAGATAACAGAGTCATTGTATCAAAAAGAAATGGTCAATGTTTAACCATCTCAAGTGGTAGCATATGATCAAGTAGCATTGGTATTGAAATCCAAGCTGCACTGAAGGCATTAGTAATCAAGGCTCCATAAATTGATGGAATACAGATTGAAATCTTTCAACAAATTGATGAAGCACTCAAGGTGCTCACACATCTATGCCAGGAAATTTGGCAGAGAGCTCTCTCACCAACTGACTGTAAGTGATTCAAGTTTACGTCTAGATACACTCTTTCCATATGGGTATGTTGTTGTTGTTGTTGTGTGCCTTGGAGTCGGTTCTGACTGACCCTGTACAGGGTTTCCCAGGCTGTAAATCTTTATGGGAGCAGAAAGCCTCATCTTTCTCCCATGGAACAGCTGGTAGTTTGGAATTGCTGACCTTGTGGTTTGTAGCCCGATTCGTAACCACTATGCTACCAGAGCTCCTTCCATATGGTTATACACATATCCATATTCCAAAGACAGATGACCCGATAGAATGCAGAAATCATTGAACAATATCAATCACTTCATAATGCAAGTAAAATTTGGCTGAAGATCATTTAAAAACTGTTGGAATAATACACCGGCAGGAAACTTCCAGAAATTCAAGCTGAACTCAGAAGAAGTCTTGGAAATAGGGATATCATTGTTGATGTTAGATGGAACTTGGCTGAAAGCAGAATATAACAGAAAGGTATTTGTTGTTGCTCTTCTTAAGCTCATCAAGCCTGCATCAACTCATAGGGACCCTGTAAATTGTTTCCAAGGATTAGCTGGTGAATTTGAACTGCCAACCTTGTGATTCCATCCAATGCTTATTGATTATGATCATGTGGCTCATAACACATGATGGATAATATCGCAAAGAATGATATTCCAGAGCACTTAATTGTGCTTGTGAGGAACCTGTACACAGTCCATGAGGCAGTTGTTAGAACAAAACAAGGGGACATTTCAATCTGTTTGTTGAGCAATTAATCTGAGAAGAAGGTAGCATCAGAATCTGAGGAAGAACCATTAACAACCTAAGGTATGCAGATGACACAACATTCCTTGCTGAAAGTGAAGGACTTAAAATACTTTTGAAGATCAAAGATTACATACAACCTTCAGTATGTATTGCATCTTAATGTAAAGAAAACAAAAATTCTCACAAATGAACCAATAAATAACATCATGATAAATAGAGAAAAGATTGAAGTTGTCTAAGACTTCAATTTGTTTGTGTCCAAAATCAATACTTATGGAAGCAGCAGTCAAGAAATGAAATGATGTATTGCATTAGGAAAGTCAGTGGCACAAGACATCTTTAAAGTGTTCAAGAGCAAAGATGTCAGTTTCAGGATTAATGTGTACCTGACCCAGGCCTTGGTATTTTCAATGGCCTCAAATGCATATGAGAGTTGGACAATGAATAAGGAAGGTCATATAAGAATCAATGCATCTGAATTATGGTGTTGGAGAAGAATCTTAAAAGTACCAAGAACTGCCAGAAGAACTAGCAAATTTGTTGGGAGAAGTTCGATCAGAATGTTAATTAAAAGCCAACATGGATAGACTTCGTCTTTCGTACTTTGGACATGTTTTCAGAAGAGAACAACCTCTCCTAAACTTTTCAGAGGGACAACCCCTCCAGATGTTTGGTAAAACAGAGAGTCAGTGAAAAAGAGAAGACTCCCAATGAGATGGAGTGACACAGTGGCACTTAGCAAATGGACCCAGTAACAATGGGCTCAAACATCACAAAGATACCGAGGCTGGTGCAGGATCCGGCAGTGTTTCCTCTTGTGCGTAAGGTTGCTAAGAGTCCAAATTGACTCTAGGGCACCTAACAACAGCAGCAACTAAATAGATTGGCATTTTAATAGCCAACAGGTAAGGGAGAATCCTTTCAACAGAACCCTCTACAGCGTTCCATTGAAATGTGTTTTTGTTTTTTCATTTCCAAATATCTTCTGTTCAAAATAAAGTTAAAGCAAAAACAAAACAAAGCAAAAACACTGTTTTTGAGTCCATTCTGACATATAGAGACCCTATTAGTTATTGCATTAGGCAAATCTACTACACAAGACCTTTTTAAAGTGTTGAAGAGCAGCTTAAGGACTAAGGTGGGCCTAACCCAAGCCATGGTATTTTCAATAGCTTCATATGCATGTGAAAGCTGGACAGTGAATAATGAAGGCCATAGAAGAATTGGTGCTTTTGAGTTATGGTGTTGGAAGAGAATGTTGAAAGTGCCATAGGCTGCCAAAAGAACAAACAGATCTGTGTTGGATAAAGTGCAGCCAGAGTGCCCCTTGGAGACCAAGATGGCCAAACTTCGTTTCTCATACTTCTGACATATTGTCAGGAGGGACTGGTCGCTGGAGAAGGATATCATGTTTGTTAAGGTGGAGGGTCAGAGAAAAAGAGGAAGACCCCAACGAGATGGATTGGCCA